AAAAAGTATTTTATAACAAGTTTTGCTTTCAGAATAATTTTTCTTCCTCGTGCGGTTACTTTACGCTTTATTTTTTATATCAGTATTCAAGAAATTTGACATTAAAGGATCTTAACAAAAGAAATACAAGAAGAAATGAAAAATTTATCAAACTATTCGTGAAGAAAAATTTTAAACTGAATAGATGTTGCCACCACACATTTCATTGGGGAAATCAACGTTGTACTGCGCTTATATATATGAGCAAAGCCATCAAACATTAGTTCATCGACGAAACATGGAACGTTACGGATATCTGTTGTTTGATTCCAATGGCACAGAATATTATTATGTGCATAATGTTTTATTTAAAGATATTACTAGCTGTATCAGGAATTCAATTGAAAATGAAATGATTGGAAAACGATGCTATTTTAAAATTTTGAACAATTCGGAAGTGATGAATCACATTCATGCTCATTCGAAAGCAAATGAATATGGATATTTACTACTACAACTCTCCTGCGATAAAATGTTATTGCATGACTCATCACTAAATTTGTTTAACAATTTATTTGACTGTGTGATGATGGGGAAACAAAATATACGCGCGGCGGTGAAGATGTTCCAGATACAGTTCCTTGCACTAAAAAGAAGATTGGATACTTCATCATCCTTCCCGACGACGAAGTTATTCGGGAACTTCATTTGTAAACAATTATTATGTTAAAAAAAAAAACTATGTAATCTCTTTTTTTCTGCAATAAATAAAAAAAAAGTATATTTAACAAAACATGTTTTTTACTCACTCTTATTTTATAATCACACAGACTAGATATTTTTTAAAAATATACAAATTATACTATAAGTTTCATACCATATCTTTTTCCCTCTGTCTGGCATACTCACGTTAAAAAGCATCTGATATATATTTCGACAGATTGCTCTTCATCGTGAATATGCAAGCCCTTGAGGGGCTTGCCATTTTTTTTTAAATTTTTATTTATTTATTTTTTTTAATCGTAAAAACTAGTTTACATGAAAAAAGTAACTATACAAATCAAAATACATAATAACAAAATATGAATAACATAAAATAACATGAAAAAACATAGCATTCAAAAATATACATATAAAAAAATTATTAAAAAAAACATATTGTGTGTAGCCTGTTTTTCACTGGAGTGGATAAAATCCATTGGCAAATATATTGATTAGTTCTTTCGTAGTGAGATTCTTTCTTTTACATGATGTAAGAAATTCGGGGTCGAATAATCGACGTGGAACAACATTTCGTTGTTTTTTATATTCTAAGTAGAGGAAAAAAAAAAATACATGAAACAGTTTTTTCAATTTTCTTGAAATGACTGCTGTTTATATAAAAATAATTACATATTAAAATGTGTTTTCTATACATTCATCTTCTAAAAGCAGATTTTTATGATGACCATAGCAATTGGCATTTATGCCGTCTGCTTTTAAGAACTTCTTGTCGTAAAATGGCGACAATCCTACTTTGTTTTGAAGAACAGTGCATATATCATGCTTTTTGGAAGTAATTGTATATTGATACTGTCTCATTAATGTTTCATCATACAAAATCTTTTTATATGACTCAGTGGTCAGATCTGCGACACTAGCTTTTTTAATTCCTTTTAACTTTTTTTTACATGTATTTCCGAAAGAGAATGCATACATTTTGCACTTTAACCCCACAAATTCTTTGATGGGTAAATTGTTTTCATTTTTCAAAAACCCTAATTTGCCTTTATTATTTATACTGTACATTAAATGATGTTTTTCGAAATTACTACAATCTAAAATTTCATTGAAATACTTTTTCATGTCATTAAAAATATCGTGAGTTTCAATATTCATATATAATGAGTCAGTATCAGTATAAATCAATTCGCATTTATCATTGTACACGCTCTTAAAATACTTATAATATAAATTATACATATGCAATTTCGACAATTCTAACACAGTGAAACCCACATAAATTGGTTTATCTAAACACAAATTTTGTTTTTTCATTTTATATAATGATAAATTTTCATTTATCACTTCAAAATAATCCAGTAAGGGACTTTGCAAGTATTTTTTGCTCTGAATTTCATTTAAGGCCGCTTTAACATTAACACGCTTTCTTACGTTTTGACATGTTTTGCCATAAAAACTATTATTCATTTTTTTAAAGAAAGATTTTTCAAAATCATTTTCGGATGCCGTTCTTTTATCGTTATTAAAAGCTATATAGCTTTCTAACCATTTGCATTGGGAAAAAGCCAAAATCTTATGTATCTTTTGTAGAACAAGTCCTTGTTCAAGATAAAATTTTAAGTTTAAATAATGACATATATATATTTTTCTTTTCGAAAAAATTTGGTGTCAATTTTTTGCAGGGTAAAACACTTTTCATGTTTAATTTGTCGCACATCTTTTTCGCATATGGAGACAACATGTCATATGTTATTGTTAAATGTTCTGGGGCCAACGGAAAATCATTGTGGATATCATGCAATTCAGGTGGATATAGGAGATCTACCTCTAAAATATATCCAACGCTTGAATTAGGATCGATGTTCAAAATATCGAAATGTCGTACTTCGTCAGTCGTCAACCATGTGAAATGTCCATATGGTAGCGACTGACTCATGACATATCCATACAAATTGTTAGCATCAAGTGCTAAAATATAATTATGGGGTTTGTATGGGTCATAATCTGAAGTATACGGATTATTAGCCACTACATGTCGCTTGCCTAATAAACAAATCCCCCCACGCATTTGTGATTCTATCCACATGTAATCGTTGGCATTGCTGAATAGCTGTAATTCTACTTTTGTATATTTCAATCCCGCATTCCATGTGAGATCCGCTCCTGTCACGAAATGGAGGGGATCCAAATTATAGTACGTCATGGACATTCGGCGAAAGGCCGAAAATATTTCGGCTAGTAGAACAGTATCAACATTTTGATAAAGCTCTAAATAATCTCCTATTGTTTCACAGTGAAATGTTTTGTACACGAGTTGTGCATGTTCATATTCATCATCTGTTATATGGTTATTTGTTAAAATATTAAAAAAAGCACTTTTATCTGGTAAGCAGGTTTCCTTTAAAACCGCTTCTGAATCCAGATAACTGTATGGGAATACTCCTTTCCTCAGCAGTAAAAATCTGTTTGTTTCATCTTTGAAAAAACTATTAAAAATCTCGAATTGGTGTTCGGACTTTTTTAAGTTCTCAACTAATGTATCTAGCGAAGCGTCTAAAAATTGATAAGAATCCAAAAATTTGATTTCGTCTAGAGTAAACATAGTAAATTTTTCCAAATTTACTGGTGTGATATTAATGCATTTGAAAACATCTTTCGGCATATTTCGTAAAATTAAATGGGAATCGTAATTACGCGCATTATGTATTACCACTGGAATAAAATATGTACATCTATAATTTAGATTGCATGTCTGGTGTGCTAATCCGCGTATATGTCCATCGCTCCAGTGGCAGTGATCTCGAACACGTATCTCGTTTGGTAAAAATTGCTTTTGACATATGTGACAACAGTTTCTGTCATAAGTTTCAGAGCTTTCCACCATCGGTAGAATCCTTTTCATTTTCTGTAACAATTTATGTGATAGGTATTTCAAAGTTTTTAGAAAGTTATTAATGACATTATTTCCGGAGTAGTATTCCGTAAATATTATTTCATCGTTAATGTTTGTGACAAGAATTGCATAGCTGATAGGTTCGTGGTGTTCTACTGCTACTGAAAAACTCTGAAACTCAGACGGAAAAGCTGAAGAAACTTTTCTAGTGAGAGACTCGAAATCCGCAAAAATGCAAAAAGGATGATATAATTGTTTAGACAAGTCAGTGAATTTAACTACTAAATTTTGAGGGATGCTTACTTTCTGAGGTTCTTTGCCTTCGCACAATTTTATGTGGGTTTCTAAACTGCATTTTCGCTGAAACCCTAACAAACAGTTTTTACAATAGTGATGAATACCTTTACGAACATTTAATAATCTATTTAAGTTTGTGATTAAAAAAAAATGATTTTCAAAAAAAAGTAAATCAATTTCTTTCATTAAGTCGATATTTTTTTGTTTGCTTATACTTAAAGGAAAGATTTCATTTTCTTCAAACGCAAATACATTAATTTTTAAATCATTTAACTTTTCAAATTTTTGAATTCCACTTAAGGAAATCGGAAATTTTATCCCGCTAATTTTAAGACATCTCAAATATTTTTTATAATAATTTAACGTGTTTTTATTCTGTTTCCTTGGATATAGTTTTGCGATAACAGAATACAAAAAGCATTTATTATCATAACAATTAATGTTTAAAACCGCTTTTTTGTTTCTAATTTTTGCTGGCAATTCTATGTGTTTACATCCGCCTCTTATTTCTCTTAAATTGCCTACTTGAATGTCGATATAGTTCAGACGCTTTATTGTCCATCCACTACCGTTTCTAATAAAGTTATCAATGCCTAGAAATATTTTTCGAAATGCATTGTCAATCGCTATCAATATCTGTCCTCGTGTTAGGATTCGTTCACATTTGGAGCAAAAATAGAAACTTTTTTTCTGTTTCTTTGTCTCCATCGCCTTTCTTAAATAATATGCTTAAGCATATAAGTATTCTTAACCTAAGAATATTACTACTACTTAATAATGAAAAAATTATTTGTCGACTGTCCTGATATAGTAGATGAGGATCTCTGTAATTGTTGCAAATAGCTCTATACGAACGCACAAAGCCGCGATGGGCATTTCTGTGCACATTAAAATTTAGCATACTGATTTTAGAAACTATTATTTTGGATTGTTACAAAAAAAAAAAAAGGTTGTGCTGAACAAAACAACCTCATATGATTTTCTTAAATTACTTCAAATTGATATATTCATTTTTTTTGAATAATTTTAAACAAAACGTACTTTACAAATGCTACACAATTAAAAAAAAGTAGTCAATGTTAAATATATAACACATTCATTTATACATAATAACACACTGATTTCAAAAAAAGAAAAATGAAAAAAAAAAAAAATAAAAATAATACAATTAAATTTAAAAAAACAAGCGTTTTTTTTTTAAACCACTCGATTGCGTTTAATGTGATTGATCATGTGCTCGCAGGCTTGTTTCAAGGTATCCAGCATTTCGAGCGGGATATTAAACCGATTTTTGATGTCGTTATTGGAGGTCTGTCTGGATAAGCCGATGTAATGAGATCCACGGAACTCCTTGAGTTCCATGACAAGATTACGACCAAGATGTATTGAGTACGATGGGAAGAGGGTTTTTTTCTCTTCGCTTGCTAAATCTAAATCGAAGCTCTTTGCTTTTTTACGGTGGGGATTATTCAATTCCACATCTTCGTCGTCAAGCAAGTTAATGTGTCTTTTCACTTTGCAGTCTAAAAAAATAATTTAAAACTACACATACTATGAACGAAATTCTAGGGAGCAGAAAAAAAAAATAGTTTTTTTTGAAAAACATAGCGCAAAGCATAAAATAAAAAAAATGTCTTACCATTGCTCGTCGAAGCTGAACTTTCCATTCTGTCAGGAACTGCAAATCAAACGAGTGGAGGAATATGTTTTTCGTTGCGAATTTTTCTCTTTAAATACGCTATTCGTGTCCTAATTTCCCTCATCGCCTCTCCAGTACATTTATATGCTTACTTTTTTCTCCCCTCAATATTATTTCTATTACCAAGAAAAAGGAGTTGCTAAACTTTATTCAGTGACCCACATTTTTTTTTTCGCATTCGACCCAATAGATTGACCTCCGCGCTAAAACTAACTGCTTTCGTTTTCCATACTTGAGGTTTCCCCTCTCCCTCTTTGCGACCTCCATTCGCGTTTCCTCTATGCAGCTTCGATGGCACATTCAAAGAAGGAAGAAGGAAAAAAAAACAACCCTCGTTTCCACATCTTTTTATGTTCCCGTCCTCGGAATACTCATCTGTTTTGATAACGTGTGCGCTCCCCTGCAATCTTTAATTTCTCTAGGAAAAAACGTGCGTCCTCCTTTTTTATTATTTTTAAAGTTTTTTTTTTACTCTTTTTCCATAAGTAAAATAAATCATGTCATATGTCAATCACAAATTAAGAAGAACTGTTCCTTCCTGTAATCTAAATTCTCTCGAGTTTTTTTTTTCTCATTCTTTTTTAAATCTTTTTCCTTCCTCCTTTTAAAAACGTTTTCTGTTCTTTTCCGAAAGTAAAAAAAATACCATATATCATTCTGTCATTATACTCATATAGACTTAATAAAGAACCACACCAATCTAGTTGTCATCCTTTTAACAAAAAAAAAAACATCCTGTAATCTAAATTCGTTCGAACGTGTGTTCTCATTTTTTTTTCCTCTAGTTCTAAAATGGATTTTTCCTCCTTCCTTTTTCCAAGGGAAGCGAATAATTATTATCACATAGCGTCTCATCATTATATATATAAACGTGTCAACTCGATACCGAATTAAAACAATGTATATACACCAAAACATCATAAAAGCATATCTTTCGTTTCAGAAAAGTAGGAATCACAGAAAAAAATATATATGACATGACTAAACATTTCAAAATCATAATAATCTGAAAATTATTACATATTTTAACTCATCTCCGACAACAACTCCCCAACACACATCTACATATCCTCCGATTCCTAACACACCTTCGACATCTCCACCCCCCTGATGTTTGTTTCCGTTCAAAACTCATATGTACTAACAATACAACCGTTTTACATACTTAAAAAAATTTTTTTTTTACTTCTCCCATCATAAAAAGCATATCTTTCGTTTCATAAAAGTAGGAATCACAGAAAAAAAATATATGACATGACTAAACATTTCAAAATCATAATAATCTGAAATTATTACATATTTTAACTCAGCTCCGACAACATCAAGTTTCCTTACACACCATCGACTCCATAGCCACCATAGCCACTAAAGAGAGTAAAACTACCATCGCCACCATCGACTCCATAGCCACCATAGCCACTAAAGAGAGTAAAACCACCATCGCCACCATCGAGGCGATCGCCACCATCGCCAGCATAGCCACTAAAGAGAGTAAAACCACCATCGCCACTAAAGAGAGTAAAATTCTATCCGGAGTCCATCCATGTTATACTACACATAATACAGCACGCGTCCTCCCGGGTTAATGGAAATTTTATTTAATGGAACAGAAAGCAAATTAGCAGGTGCTAAATTTTTCAAGTAATTACTACATATGCAGTTTTCCTTTGTAATAAATTGCTTTATAATTTACATTACGCAAAGAGTTTATTACTTCTTATCAACAACAACTTCACAGGAAATATTGTCAGAATGAAATCAGATTAAAAGATTACATTTAAAATTTATTTTTGCTGAGTAGGAAATATTTAAAAGAAATTAAGATACATTGATAATCATACCTATGAATTATTTTGTAACTTTAAAAAGACTTGAAAACATACAGCTCTTAAAACTTTGAATAGAAGTATCCATTGCCTATGGTAAGTTAAGAAAAAAAGTGCTGTTGAAAACTGACAAATTTATTAAATTTTTTATTGCAACAAATTTATAAATTTTCAAATGCTTTTCGGCTATTACTAAGTTAAATTATTTAAGTATATCACTTGCAGATGCCTATAACAGATTAATATACTTTACATGTAATGTATTTTATTATGAAGATTTAGTTTTAAATATTTCAAATATGATTAAATAATACAAAAAAAACACATTATGCATTGACTATGTGAATTGTTGAAAAATGTAAGACATATATTTATTCAAAATAGTTTTTTTTATGTGAGAACATCTTTAAGTTTCACTAACTTTTAATACTTTCATCATTCTGATAAAATGTTTAACAGCAGAATTTTAAATATTGGTGTTATTAACACGTATAACCAGGCGGCCATATATCTAAGCATTTGTTAGCTTCTTTTGTTTTATACCAGTTACTGTTTTTCCTTTATCTTTCTGTTAATGTTTTAAAAATCAGTTTTGCCATAATGTTACAGATTCCCCCTCTGGCTGACATAATGTCTCGGTGAAGAACCAGAAATATATTTTGCATTCTTCTGTACGAGGAGTACATCGGGAATCTTTTGATAATGAGTTTGGGCATTTCTCTAAAATGTGCATCTTGATCACCATCATAATATCCTTCACGTAACTTCTCTTTGTCCTACTTCACACTTGAAATGATTCAAAAGAATTTGTACAACACTAAAAGGTATCTGTACTACCATATTTACTTTATGTATACAATCAACCATATGTTGAACAATTTGTTCTTTAGAGAAAACTTCATAATGAAACTCTTCAGTCTCTAATTTTTCTCTCAATGAGGATTCCGGTTCTAACGAAATTGACTCAGCATCATATAGATCATCATCACCAGTGTCCATTTTGTGGAAGATAAAAGAAAATATCACAATTTACTACACATAGGAGACAAACTTTTGTAAAGTAATTAAAGCAAATGAAAATGAATTTTAAGGCATGCATGACACTTATTGAACTTTCAACTATATTACAATTCACATCTTTGAATCGGGTTGATTCTCCAAAACTTCACTGAATTGGTATGATTCAGTCAAAACTGCAAACAGCAGAGAATCAGGATGATTTTCTTCAAACTTCATTGAATCGGGCTGATTGCTTTAACTGTGCATGTTCACTATATGCGGTTGGATCTCTCCCTGGCTCGAAGCAGCTCTTGAATTTTTAAACACTGGTTGTTCCTTAACCAGATAAATCATTCAGGTCCTGCACTGGGCTGCCAATTTATATCCAGAGGCCATACATTTAAGCATTGTTAGCTTCTGTTGTTTTATATCAGTTACTATTTTTCCTAAAAAACTATTTTAAAGCTTTATCTTACTATTACCATGTAGTGATTTTGAGAGCCACTCAACGCTCACAAATTTAAAAGGGTCGGGACCTAGTGCATTGGAGCTGTTTTATGCTAGTGGCAGAGAATTAAACTCGCGTTAGTAGATAGTGTCATCAGCTAGCAGCTACAATAACCAATGCCACTGAGGTCTCTCGCATCACGTGATTACTACAACTATATACCATTTTAGAAAATCTATCTTGCTGTGACTGTGCTTAAAAGCTAAGAGTTTACACATGTAATTTAATCTACGAGTAAAACCAATCTTTTTGCAGTTTTAAGTATGCTTAAAAATATAAATACACATCAGTAATTAATACCTAAATAATAAATTACACATCAGTTTTTAATAACTTGAATAAAACTGTATAAGGTAGTGGGTTTTCAATAGTTTTTGTACCATGCATCCCTTGCATTATTGCTAGATGACGATTCCCTCTTCTTTTCCAAAACTGTAAAAATGCAATACATTTAATTTAAATTTAGGTTAATGTTTAATGTGATTCATAAGTTAAACGTAAAAAGTATAGAAAATGTGGTAAATGTCAAATCTGGAATGAAAGTGGTTTTTATATTCATAAAACTAAAATTAAATACTTAACAGTTAAATAAAAGGCTGATCACATTCCATCCTTAAACTAGGAAATTACCTGGCTAAGAAACCCTGATACAGAAATTACTTATGTAAATGTTTTCATTTTCTTGTATTTATACATGCATTTAAAATTTTAAACAATTAACTTTCAACATAACATGTTTATCATAAAAATTCATATTTAAAAAATAAAGTTTCTGCTGCAATTTAATTTTTCACACATGTACAGAAAATAGAATAGTGATAAAATCTAGTTTGAAAATAAGTATGTGGTGCAGTTGTGCACAATACATCTTCCCAAATTTCTGTATAACAAACTGAAAATATTATTTTATGCCTGGTATATGCTTAGTGATTAACACTTCTATCCCAATTGCAAATATTCAAAATCACTATTTTTAGAAAAGTATATTCAAATATTCTTAACTGGCCTGATTTTGGAGAGAAAAAAATTAAGTTATGACTTCTATACAATAATCCTCATATATTCTTTTTATATATATATACATATATATATAATATGAAACACTGGAAAGTAAGCGCAACAACAAATGCAAAGTTCTGACTTTGGCAAAAAGCTGACGCTATTAAAATTTGATATGCAGTTAATTTCATGTTGGATAAATATAAATATCTTTTAATAAATTCATTTCAGCTGAAATATTATTACTTTTTTATACAAAAATTTCTTAAAGAGATTTATTTTTTAAGTGCATAAATTATAAAATGTTTGCATAATTTTAATTAAGCATGTCACCATTTTTCAAATGAAGTAATTTAACTGTGAAAACAGAATTATATGCTATTGCAGATATCTGAAGTGGATTTTCAGATGCTTTATGGCTAAGATATTAAATTCTGAAAAAAAAGAGGGCACAGAGAGGGAAAGAAGACAGATTTAAAGAGAAATTTTGATACTCTTCTGTTAATGGGACCAGAATCAAAAATTTATGTATGTATGCACATGCGTCTACACACACACATACATACGTATGAACATATACAGGGTGAATCTGAAAGTGGGCAAAACTTTATGGAGTTATAGAATGCAGCTATACAAGCAATATTCATCATAGAATGTTTGGGTTAAACGCAAACTGCCCAAGCAGCTAGCTGGCATTGCAAATGGTATAAAAAGTGTCGGTCCTTGTACCACCTAACGGCATTTTCTATTGTCGGTTGCCAAAAGGATGGCTGGTTATACGAACCACGAAATTTCTAGGGTGATGAATTGGTCGAGGTGGTTTCATAGCTTGGCCACCAAGATCATCCAATCTCTCGTGTTTGGACTTCTCCTTGTGGGGCCATATGAAAAGCCTAATCTACAAGTACTCCGTTAAAATGAATAGGCATCTAAATGTCAGGATCGGCAATATTCAGGAAATGTCTGGGTCAGTTCCGATCCTGCAGATGTGAAGCCTGCATAACAGCTGGCAGAAGGTCTTTTCAGCAATTTCTTTTAACATGTACACTG